AAGGAAGGAAGGAAAGAAAGAAAGAAAAGAAAAAAGGAAGGAAGGAAAGAAAGAAAGAAAATAAGAAAGAAAGAAGGAAAGAAAGCCACTTCGTTAACTACCCAAAGAGGAATGGGGGCAGCTATCAGAACTTCCAACCCACGTCATAAGTTCCCCCGAGGCAGGTCCGTCCTAACTTCAGTCACTAAGCGAGGACTGCTTTTAAAGATAAAAGCTAGGGTGGTTCCTGTCTTTTGGCGACGCCTCCCACCTTCGCCTTGGTTTTCCCCACAGGTTGAGTTCCCTACAGGTTCCTCATCCCCCGAGGGGACGCCAACGCCCCCCTCCACCCCCGAGGAAGCTTCCGGGTTCACAGCTTCCGGCTCGCCCAAGCTGGAGGTCAACGGTTCCATGACGCCTTTCGGAAGCCCAACCGGCCACCGGGACCTGGAGGCCCTGATCCCCACGCACGATGAGCAGGGGAAGCCCATCCCGGAGTGGAAGCGACAGGTGATGCTGCGCAAGCTACAGATAAAAGTGCAGGAAGAGGAAGAGAAGAGGCACAAGGTAAACGGGCTGGACACGGGGCAGGGCGGGGATTGCTCAGCATGGGGTGCTGGTGTGCTGTGGTCCCATTTCTGTGGTGTGTTGGAAACCTCAGTCTGGACCCCAAGAAAACTAGGTCTTGTCTTAAAAGGCAAGCAGAGGGTCCGGGAGGTCACGGTCAGTTGGTTCCATGGCCAGACTGTGGATTCCTCTAGCGTGCAGGTGTCCCTTGCTGGTTCTGTGGGGTCCTTGGTGCTCCCTGAGCGTGGCTGTTTTCTCGCAGACGTTTCGTGACCCAAGTAGGGAACGTCATCAGTGCTAGAAAGGAGAGGGGTTTGCAGAAAGGAGGAGGAAGAGGAGGACTGAGGGGTCCTTGGTGTTCTCTGAGCTTGGCGGTTTTCTTGCAGACATCTCATGACCCAACTAGATAATGTCATCAGTGTTTGAAGGGAGTGAGGTATACAGAGTGGAGAAGGAAGAGGAGAATAAAAGGAGGAGGACTGAGGGGTCCTTGGTGTTCTCTGAGCTTGGCTGTTTTCTTGCAGACGTTTCATGACCCAACTAGGTAACATCATCAGTCTTGGGATTTACAGGGAGGAGGAGGAGGAGGACTGAGGGGTCCTTGGTGCTTGGTTGGCAAGCTCTGTGAGACCGTGAATGGAGATTCACAATCAAAAGGCCTTTTGCAGACCTTCTCAAGCCCATAACTTAGAGAAAGTGGGGTCCTTCCTTCTGACTTCTCTCTACTTTCCGTGTGGGGCTGCAGCATGTTCTCTGCATGGCTGTGCGCGTTGACCTGGTGTGACCCACTCCGAAGCTCATTTAAACCTGCACGACGGGCCAAGCGAGGACTGGCTCTCTGCACAGCGGTTGTTGTGGTCAAAATGTCCGCCACAGATATTCGGCGACTTACAAAAATCTTTCCCCACCAGATAAACGACCGGTGCATCTAAGAGCTCTCTTTGACTCCTTGTTGCCAGATACTGCAGGAATTAAATGCCTTACATGAGCGCTTCGTGGTGTAGCGTGTGGATGCTTCTTGCGGCGCCTGCCGTCAACGCCGCGGGGTCCTTGCACGATTCTCTCGCATGCCTGTCCACCCGAGCAGAAAAATATCGGTCTTTCTCTCCCGATACGGCCCTCCAGTTTTCCTCCCATGGCTTGTCTTGCCACGGGGAGTTTTTACTCAACCGCCCCGTTCTCATTACACCACGAAGTAACATGTAAGGCACAGACGGGGTGCAGAACGCAGATGGTGTAGTGGCCCGTCCTGAGGGACCCTCCTCGCCCTCTGGGTTGTGCTTTCTTTTTGTCTTGCGTAGCTACGACCTGGGCATTGCTACCCCCAGGAAGGCTGGCGGTATTCCCATGCTCACAACGCCATTTTGGGACCTTTCGGGGAACTGATGACCGAAGACGACCTCCTCCGTATCGAGAAGCAGATCCAGAACCTTCAGGTCGTGCACAAGGTGCAGAAAGTCGAGACCGAACTAGAACAACTCGAGCAGCAACTCCAGCAGCTGCTGCCCGTCTCGGCCGCCTTAGCGAAGGAACACTTCACCGTCAACCCCAAGTGCATGCATGGACGGGCGGAGGACCTCCCGGGCTGGTGCAACAAGATCTCTATTCTCTTGAAAAGCATGTCCATCCTGCTGGCCACGCTGGGCGGCAAAGCCACCAGCCTGGCGGAAATGGTGACCTCCGAAGCGTTGGCGCAGAAGAGCGAAGGCGCCCAGGTGCTCGTCTCCGCTGCGCTCAAAGACGGCCCGAGCCACATAGCCCGTTCTCAGTCCTTCAGCTGCACCCGGGAGGAGCTGGAGAAGGAGATCCTGCAGTGGGGGGTGTCCGTAAAGAACCTGAAGGCCAACTACGAAGTCCACGTGCAAGCGCAGCAGATCAGCGAAGCCACCAACCGGGTGTACAGAAGGAAGCGTTCCCTGCCTGTGGGAACGGCCCCGTTCACTCTCGGACGCGAGCCCATTTTGGAAGAAGACTACATCATGGGCCTGGAGACGTTCCCTGTCCTGGAAGATGAGGAGGCCTCCACCGTTGGTCTGGAACCCCCCATCCAGCGGTCCCACGCGCCTCTTCTGTACGAGGTGGGACCCAGCCCGTTCTCCAAAGGAGACTCCTTCGCAGAAACCATGTTCAGCCCCGACCACATGACCAGGAGCCTCCCGGTGCAGACGGACCTGAGCTGCATCCAAGACTACATTGACCTGCGCAAGGAACGGATTGTCTACCTTTTCCTGGAACACTGGAAGAGATGGACCTTCACCGATTCGGGCAGGCCAGTCCAGCCAAGGAGGATGGCGGAGATGGCGGGTCTCGATTTGGAAGAAGACGGCCAAGCGTACAACCAGTCTGCGCTGACAGCCACAGAGCCGAAACCCAGCGAGGACCACCAACTCTTGTACTTCATGAAGCAACGTCAGGTGGTGAGCAAGCTGCTCACTCACTGGAGAAGCATCATCAGCCAGGTTCCCACCAGACAAATCCGCCGCCTGAGCCACGTTGACATTTTCTACTGGCCCCAACATTTTTTGCCGCATGTCGATGGCTCGCCTGTGGAGTACGATAGCCTGACTTTGGACCTCTTCTTGCTCGGTTACTTCCAGCTGCTGGAGATGGACATGAGCCGGGAGGAACGCAAGTTTCGCCACCTGCTCTGCTACGAGATGTTTGACCACCTGGGCAGCCACAGCTGGGACCTCATCCGCCACTTTCACAAAGTGGTGATGGAGGAAGTGGAGGCCGGGCAGCGGGATTGGCTGGATGGATTTGAGGACCTCAAACAGAGGTTCTTCAGGGACCACCTGGCGAAGGACCACGGGACCACACCCAGTGTGGATGTCCCAGCCGAAACCCTACGTTCTCCCCCTACTCTCCCCCACCAGGAATCTTCTCAGTCCTTGCTCAGTAGCACACAGGAGCCCGTGTCCGTTGGAGAGGAGCTAGCTGTTGTCCCAGCTCTAAAGAGCAGGAAGAATTCCATCCAGCTTGTTTCAGAGCTTGGAGAATTCAGCAGCGATGACATTTGCCGCTACATAGATCGTAGCTTCTCATTTTGGAAAGAGAAGGAGGCGGAGATGTTTGCCATCTGAGGGTCAGATCTTTGCAGAAGATCGCTTCTTAAACACGGACCTGTTCAGAACTGGTCCTTCAGAAGGTGACATTCACTACACTCCCCAATAACATTTGTAAGAAGGTAAGGTGCTCCTAGCTAGGACTTCGGCTGGTCTTGGTGGACCAAGGCAATGGACCACGGTTGAGTTCCCTCAAGATCCGCTGCACCCAATTCTGAGATCAACGAAGAACACCGCTACAGTTCCAAGGCATACGTAGAGTGGCATCGCTGCCTGGACTCACTTTTCATCTTTGCATTGTGCTCCTTGGCTTGCATACGCCAATAGCCACACCCAGGCAAAACCTCTGTGGGACCTCTGTGCAAGTGTGAAAAAAGCGAATCCACTTTGCTATCCAACTCTGAGTAGAAGGAAAAACAAATAGAAGTTGTACTGTACAAGAGCGCTTAGTTATTGGTGGGGCCCACGATTTGGGAATCAAGAAAATTTGAAGCAGATAAAAGCACAATCAGACAGGGAGGGTGTTTAGAACCAAACCAGGCCCCATATCTGCTTTAGTTTTGTTTTTTTAAAATAAATCCATTTATGCCAGTTGTCCAACAGACTAAGTCCTCAACCAAGCAGGATCCATTGTATCTTAGCTATGTTTTGCAGATTCAACACGTGGGATTAAGGCATGGTGTGCAGAGTGTATACGGAACACTTTCCCCAGAGTAAGAAACTGAAGTTTTGTGCACCCTGATGCCAAAGACATCAGTGCCTCATCCGTGTTGGTTGCGTGACGACGTGCTCCACGCAACATCATTCAGACGTCACGGCAGAGTTGTACCAAGTGATTTTGCAGCAAATCGAGAGGGTTTTAGAGTTGATGATCTGTAAATGTGATTAATTTCCGAAATACTGATTATACTTCCCATAATAGTTCCATCAATTCTCTTCCCAACACCCCCAGAGGAAGGTGCTAGGATGCTAAAACAATTTACTTTGCGACAGTTTTAATGCGAAGAGACAAATTAACATCTCTTTGCCCCTGACTGTGTGATTTGGTTGTGTGTTCTGCTATCCTGGCAGGGGTGCGATGGCTCCTTTTTTTGTGTGAGTTATTATGCAAGATTTCCTAATTATTTTCTTCTATGGTCACTTACTACTAAAAATAGGGGAACAACCTCAATTAAATTGGAGAGCCGGTTTCATTTTGATGGAAATTTGTCTTTATTTTAGTTGTCTGAAGAAATAAAATTTATTGTGTGCAAGGAACTGGGCATCTTTTGTCATTGCCACGAAAGAGAGAGAGAGAGACAAACGAACTCAAAGGCACCTGGGCATTCTCCTTTCTACGCTCTGTGTTAGTTTAGACTTTGAAAATCTTTATCCTGGCCTCCATTCAACAATTGAAAGGATAAACACCGCATTAAAAAATAATCTGAATAATTAATGTTTGACTGTGAACTTAATTAATGATTAATTAACTAATAATTAATGTTTGACTGTGAATAATGAAAGTGAGTTTTAGTGGCACGGATTCTCAACATTTTAAAGATCTTTTTATTCAGGGATAAAAAGTGAATGAATTTTAAGAGCATCCCTCTTGGTCTAACCTTGAACCTCGGTGAAATTGATAGCTTTATGTCCAATGGGAATTTTAATTTAATTTGCCATTCTATTGGATCGTTGTACAGCAAAGTTTTTAAAAAGTACCTAACATTTGAAGTATTTTTTTTTTAAGTGAAAGGGGAGTCCAACTTGCCTTAAAATAGTGTTTTACAACCTTGGCAATTTTAAGAGGGGTGGACAATCAACTCCCAGAATTCCCCAGCTCACGGATCAATCCGATTTTATGGCCTTTTTGCGCGGCGGTTGTTAAACGAACACCACAGTTGTTAAAGCAAAGCCACGGTTTGTTAGAAGGCATCTGAAATTTCGACCATGAAGAAGCGGTCATGGTCGTAAGTGTGCAAAAATGCTCATCAGTTGCTTTTTGGGTGCTGTAGTGACTTTTCCTTTTGCAGAATGGGCACAGCTGGGAAGGGATCCCGCTTGGTGCAAAATAATTAGCTATCCACCTAATTTCAGAGTCACCCTGAAAATGTTCAGAGAAGAACGAACTACGGATAAATAAGAATAATCCCACGCTCTCGGCCTCCCCAAGAAAATTATTTATACTCCATTTTTTTCGACTTTTTGTGTCTGTGTGTGCATGCTACGGCTGTTCTGTGAATAGCTGCCGTGGTTCAGTGAATCCCACGGCCGTTAGGCGAATCCAGCTTCCCCGCTGAGTTATCGGAAGCCGGCTGGGAAACCGCAGGGTTGCAATGGTCGTAAATCCATGCCCAAATTTGAGCACGGGGATGCGGCAAAAGGATGGCAAGGCATTTTTTTCCAGAGCTATTGTAAACGAATGATTGTAAGTCAAGGATTACCTGTATTGTATTGAGATTGGTTATAATAAGAGAACAGGCTTAACTGGGATGAATTTCACCCCTTTATACTTCTGCAGAGTAGGCAGCTGTTTGTCTGAACCGCCTCCAAATCTTTATCATTTGCTCTGGACTTAAAAAACGTTTCATCCCTTTTCCATTCACTGAAGGGTTCTTGCATATTTCCGGCAAGGTTGCCTCCCTCTTCCTTTCCAGTTCTCCCCTCCCTCCTTTCACAACACCTTCCTGCTTGGGGAAGGGTGTTGATCCTCCTTCCTTCCTTGTCTTCCAGGAAAGAGAAGAGGAGGCGCGCCTGGCTGGCATGCCAGCTTGGAGAAGGGATATTTTCCGGAAAAAGATGGAAGAAGAGAGGTAAGAATCGATCGAAGAGAAGAATTTGTAGCTCGGGGGGGTTGAACTTGGTCCTCCCTGGGCTTGGTGGGTTTCTTGCAGACATTTCATGACCCAGCTAGGTAACATCCTCAGCACTAGAAGGGAGTGGGATTTGCAGAAAGGAGGAGGAGGAGGAGAAAGAGGAGGAGGAAGAGGAGGAGGAAGAAGAGGAGATAGACTGTGGGCTCCTTGCTCCCCTCTGAGCTTGATGGTTTCCTTGCAGACATCTTATGACCCAACTAGGTTACATCATCAGTGTTCTGGTGCTTTTTCCTAGACTGATCATGGACAATCTAGAAGTCTGTGATTGTTGATCCCGCATTTTGTGACAGCATCGAAACCCATCAGTCTGTTCTGCAGGGTGTAAAATTGCACAATGCACGTCTACCTTTCGAAGCTAACTGTTTGTTGTGGTTTTTCTTTCTTTCTTTCTTTCTTTCTTTCTTTCTTTCTTTCTTTCTTT